CCGCTTTGGCTCATCAATCAGCTGCCTTACAAGCCAGTTCTCTGGCCTGTAAAGGCAAGGACCCTCAACACTGACCCACAACACTTCAAACTGGCATGTAACAAATTCACCTCTTTCCCCATCTTAGAAGCTGGGATTCTCTGCTGTTCCTCAAGGGACAAGCCCTTCTAAGTCACTTGGGACTGAGCTAGTCCAATGTTGCTAAGATTACATAGATGAGTCTAATCCTGGGGATGAGCTGGAAGGCCCATCTGGCTCTCATACTAATCTATACCTTCCAATTTTGCCTTCATCAGTAGCAACATTGCAATTTAAGATATGTACAGAGAGGTGCACAAAGTATGCAAGTTGAAGTGTATAGTTTGACGACTTTTCACAAAGTGAAATAAGATCTACACAAATAGAGGGACATGTCATATTCATGGATTGGAAGAGTATCAGTTCTCACCAAAAGTATCTACAGACTCAATGCAATCCAAATCAAAATATCAGGAGGTATTTTGGAGGGCTGGTAATGGGCAGGATTGACAAACTGATTCTAAAATTTAAATGAAAGTGCAAGGGGCCAAGAACATCCTATGTGATTCTAAAGAACAACAAAGATCAAGTGTAGGAATGGATGCAAGGATGGACACACCAATAAACAGATCAGAAAAGAAAATCCAGAAATAGACACACAAATACACAGCCACTTAAGTTAGGACAAAAGTGATAGGTCTAGGCAGTCCAGTTGACCCAGCACTGGATCAACTAGCTATCCATACTGAAAAACTGAGCAAAAATAGGCTTTTGATTCTCCATTCACTGATCTATCTTTTTTAACTAATTTAGCACCTACACTGGAGTTGGGGAACTGTAGCAGGAGAGTTGATATAAATTTCTGTTACCTCTCTTCTGAATTTTACTCACCCAATCTTCCATAATCCACTCCTTACACTGTAGTTGGAATGCTTTCTCTAAACGACCTTTGAACATATCACTTTCTTGCTTAAAATCTTTTGCTAGTTCCCCAGTGCCTTCAAGATAAGTCTAAACTCCTTTACAAATCTCATAGGCTCTTTAGGATCTGAGCCCTGCTTCTTTCCCTCATTTTCATCTTCCCCCATTTCCTGCTGGAGCCTCTACATACCATCGGTGCTATGTCTTTCCTGCTTCCAGGAATTTACACATGCTGCTCTTCCCACTTTTATCAAAGGGATAACTCTATGCTCCTTTTCATGATAAACACCCATTGGACCACTGGTTCTCATTCTAAACATCACTTCCTCTAGGAAGTTTGTATGCACAGCTTCCCTAACAACTTTCCTCTTCCTGTCATGCCCAAGGTCTCCTGTGGCATAGCAGTGTGTTCTAAGCCTAATCACAGCATTTCCCATAGTATATCTCTTGTTGTTGTTGTTCTTTATTCTTCTGTAGCACTGTGAAGGCAGGGGGTAAACTGGTCTCCCGTACCACTGTAACCCCAGTGCCAAGCATATAGTGAACACTCCATAAATACTAATTGAAATGAGTCACATTTGCAGTTTATAAGCTGCGCATCTTTTTTAAAAGTCCTAAGAGATAAGATAGGTAAAGAGAGTATTCCCATTTTCTAGGTGGTGTGGAGGCCAACTTTGCCAAGGTCAACCAGCTAGGATAATGGTACCATGTCACTCTACTCTTCTGATATTTAACTTGGTTTATAGCTACACAGTGTTTCCCATTATTTTGATATAGCACATAATTGTATCTGAGCTTAGTTTAAATGGCACATTTTCTCCAACGTTTTTTTTTCTTTAACCTTGCACAAGGAAAACTTCTAACATAGTAACAAACTCTCATAAAAGCACCACTCAGTTTCAGCAATTATCAACTCATGACCAACAATGTCTCTATGTCCCACCCATTCTTCCATCTTTCAGACTACTGGAAGCAATTCCCAGACATTATATCATTTCATTTGTAAATATTTCAGTTAAATAGTACATTACACAAATGAGTCAAAGGCATATCCACTTGGTACTATTAAAACTATTCAGAAACAGGGTCCATCCTTACATGTATAACAAAAGCACGACTGCCTACACTCACTATTTATTTATTCATGGTTTGTAGAAGGATGTTATGCAATATCTAATCATCAACTCTGGGCAATAAGCACAAAATAGCTATGAATCTGAAAAGTGGCTTGTGACTGTTAATTGTCAGAATCCTTTTTTGCATCATCAAGGTATCAAACCAGTCATGTCAGAAGGTCACCTGTCCCAGCTTAAGCAGGAGACATGATTGGGCCTCACCTACCAAATGCTGTCACACAAGATCCAATTTGGACTTCTGCACAAATCAAAATAGTAATTTCCATTCTCAAAGAAAATTTTCTTCCTTAAACATAAATCTTGGACACAAAACCATCTCAAAAGTGATGAGAACTAGGTTGAACACTAATAAAACAATATGTTTTTATTAGCTCTCGTGCCAGGCTGTGCAATAACTTAATGGATCCATAAATCTATGCAACTATTCATGGCACCAACAACAGGCAGAAATAGTTTCAAATCTCTTTAAATACTGTAAAATTTGTCTTCAGCCAGTAAAGTGGACTGAAAAGTTTGTTTTCTCCAGAGACTTCACACTGAGAAGTAGGTTAAAGAAACTTCTAGCAGCTAGTTTCAGTCTGTAAACAAATCAGCAATCAGTATGGACACACATGTGCATATACACCTATACATACATACATACAGATTGCATAACTCTGATGAAGTTGATGTTTTATGTCACCGTTAGCAATACAATAAATTTCTGCTTCACAAAGATACAGTAAACCATGAAAGTGCTCTATTTTCAACTATGCAACTGTTCTGTTATTCTACCTCAGTCCCCTCATTCTATAATCTGTAATCTCAAAAGTGCTATGTTAATACAATTTTCAATATTATTCATTCCATAAGTACTTAATGAGCACCTACTATGTGCCATTCATTGTTCCAAGTACATAGTGTGCATCACTGAGGGAAATCAAGAAGTTCTATTAAGGAGCAGTAAGATAATGAGATGTATGTGGGTGAATGCTAGGCATACTTGGGAGGCACAGCTGATGGGACTTCCTGATGGATCAGTCACAGACAACCTCAAGACTTCTGTCCTGAGAAAGAAGAGGGGAATAGCACTGCCTTTAACCAAGACAAGAAAAGATTTGGGTGAAGGAGGAGGAGTTTGGGTATGAACAATCTGATATGAACTTAAGATCTCCAAGTACAGATACTGAAGTGGGAAGCTAAACACAGCTCTCGGGTTCAGAGAAGACATTATCTCAGATGTAAACTTGGGAGTTATTGAGTATAGTGGAGCACACCTGTAGTCTCAGTACTTGGGAGCTGAAGCAGTAAGATCACTTGAGCCCAGGAGTTCAAGACTATCCTGGATGATATAGCAAGATGCCACCTCAAGAATAAATAAACAAACTTGAGAGTGTTATATTTGACATCAACATTGCTACTAATAACTTAATGTATCATTGGCAGTTAAATATTAATTGAAATAATAAAAGTATTTCTTCTCCCCCCCCAACACAGACACACATACACACACACACACACACATACACACACACACACAAGATCTTTCTACACAAAGAAATAAAGGACCAAAAATCATAAATCAAATGAAGGTAATGAACTATTTGCTGATTGAGTCAACGGTCATGTTCATTTCAAATATATGAATCAAATGGAGGAAAAACTCCCTCCGTTGTTCCTTCCCAAGATGGGGACTTGCTCTTTTGTAAATACTTACAGGAATCCAAATTTGACCATGTGAAACAAAAGTGAGTTCACAAGCTGGGATACTAACTAGCTGTCTGATCTAGAGAAACATCAAGTATTGATCACTAAAAAGAACAATGCTGGTTTAGAGAAGCTTCAACAAAGGAAGAGCTTACATGAAACAGTCTTTCATTTCTAGGTATCTTCCCTTTCTGCCTTATTCATCTCTAAGAGAATAAGTGTCAAAAAAATTCCCTCTTCACAATCTGTTTCTAATGCAGGCTAACACTGGGCAAGGTTGCTGGGGGCAAGGTTGCTGGGGGCAAGGTGGGTGGTAGAAGTTCTGCAGCTGTGGAAGATGATGCAACCTTTAAAATTTCACATCACTGAAAAGTGAAAAACACTTAAAAGGCCACTGAAAGCCTGTTGCTATCCCCCATCCCTCAAACCTGCTGGCACAAACACCAAAGCACAAATTTCAGCACTAAATCAAATTAACAAACATTCCTGAAGCACAGCACGAGTGCAGCTTATTATAATTTGGAAAATTCCACAGTATTTATCAACTCCTAAGCAAGGCCATGATGCTTAGAAGTGTACCACAGTAGACGTCATCAGCAGCCACAAGTACGATGGCTCTGGGTGTGTTGCCATAGCAACTGTGTACTCAGCAGCAACACGCCGTTTGGCTCTCACCAACCCAGAACCAGAGGCAGAAGAAAACTGCCAGCTTCCTGATGGGAACAACTCAGGGGGTCAGAACACAGGCTGTCTCCATCATTCACACACATAGGAAACTTCCTTTCAGCAGTTTGAAATCATCTGCACCTAACTCTTAGAGAAAAACTACACAATTGCTTTTCTCAACTGCAGACTACATCAACAAACCCAAGCACAAAGCATCAGAGAAATGTGCAAGGAGAGGAGAGAGACTATTGGGTATCTGAAAGGTATCAGCATCACTGTTGAGTTGGGTCAAGGTATCAGGGGCTTTTCTGGAAAGAAGATGGAGAAGTGCTGGGTCATTTGAAAAGTCATCCTCAGAAACAGTCCCGAGAGAGGTGGTATGATTTGGATCTTGAGCTTCCTCCAAACGTTCATATGTTTAAGACTTGGTCCCCAGAGTGGTGCTACTGTGAAGTAGTGGAACCTCTGAGAGTTGGGGCCTTGTCAGAGGTCCTTTGGTTATTGACGGTGTGCCCTTGAAGGGGATATTAGGATGCTGGTCCTTTCTTCTCTCTCCACTGTCCGGCTCATAAGGTGAGCAGTTTTGTCCCACTACAGGCACAAAGCTGTAAGGTCAACCAATCATGGGCTGGAACCTCCAAAACTGTGAGTCAAAATAACTTTTCTTTCATGAGTTAATTATCTCATATTTTATTATAGTGATGGAAAGCTAACACAAGAGGAAATCAGTAAGGAAAGCAGCAGCATACTAGAGAATGATGTCAAACCCCACAATGTACTTTTGGAATTCCACATTACATTGTAATAAAACAGAAACTGTCACACATACCTTTTCTACTGGCAGAAAGTCATTTTCTACTTCAATTGACCTTGGTCTTAGTTTGATTGGCTTGTCTTTGAAAATATCTCCAAAGCCCACTCCCTTAACTTTCTTGGGCTGGATGGCTGCAGCTGCCACTGTCCCGTTGGCACCTTCAGACTTGGTACTGCTTGAGTCACCCCCATCACTCTCGGAGCCTGTGGTTTCCCTTAAGCCTGTCAAAAGGGGGGATGGGGAGAGAAAGAGCTCAGAAATCAGCCAGAGCCCTGAAGAAGAACTTCACAGCCAGCCAGGATTCACTTCTAAAAGTACTACCGGGTTGGGGATAAATTGTACTGGGATTTTGTATTCAGTATATTGAATATGCTGAGTTTGGCTGGCTCTGAGTTTTGTTTGATCTTCCCACCCCCAGCCTTTAATTTTAAGCAGTGAATCAAAATAACTTCTCAGAAAATCTAATTTCAGGCAGATCTCTTTGTGTATGTGACATTTTACCCTTCTTCAGCCAGAGCCAGGTTCTGATCCAAATTTGTCTGGCAGTAGTCTGTGTGCTACCAACCCTCCCTGCCCCCTCTCACCTCCCCACCCAGTCAGTACCACATACTGTACCTCAAATCTCTCTGACTCATGTCAATTAGCAATTAGCATTGAAAGTAACATTTCCTAAAGGGAAACTGCAAAGCTAAAAGTGATTTAAACAAATTAGCAATTAAAGAAACCACACAAAATTATGACTGCCAAAGAATTAAATCTCTTTGGATGGCTTCACAAGGAATAAATGCATGCAGACATGTTTCTCTAGGAATGCATTAAACCAATCTTGACATTAAAATGGTTTCACTAGCAAGATGATGGAATTTGTTAAAGAGAGAGAAAAAGCTGCCCTCCCAGAGGCCAGAATTCCCCAAGTCTAAGGGTAGTCTTCCCCTATTTAACACCATTGTCTTTCCAGAGTAAATCCCATTCCAAAGAAAAACCCTGAGGACACAATACTCTCTTCCATTGCCCTCTTGTGGCATGTGTTGGGAGACAAAACATCGTTATCAACAAGACAATATGGACACTTACCTCCCCAGATTTTTTTTTTCCCCAGGCTCTGCCTACAATTATGTTCCTAAAAGGAAGAGCCTATTTGTGTCTAGTTATTTACAGGGTATACTTTATCCTTTGATGGTCAGTATATCAATTATGCCATCAAAGATCCAAAGGATATTTTATGGAATACTAAGTACTGTTATTAAATTGTCTCTCAAGCCTCTAGATGTGGAGGATAGCTCCTGGACATTTATTACATATCTCCTGATCATAACAATGCTCTTGGGATAAAAATACACCACCAAATTTTGTTCTCTATTAGCCATCATCTTCCTACAAGTCAGGTGGCCTCCTAGTCTGTAAGAATGATGCACCAAAAATAATCGCTCACATAAAATATCATAAAATATTGAAGTCATTCAAATAAGGAAGTCTCAGTTCAGGAAGAAACTTAAATGTAAACAGATAAAAATATAGAAAGGTCATTATAAATTGTTAACAAATTTCAAAATCAAATCCTTAAAACAATGGCTTCCTTTGTTGTTCATGCTTTTTTCCATGAATGGTACTTCTAAGCCAAAAGGGTGGGGGAGGAGGAAGTTCCTTGGCGCACATTTTAATTAATTAAAGTGCAGCATCTGTGAGCAAGAACATAGGACAGAACAATGAGGAGCGGCCCATAACCAGGGTGTCGGCTGCAATTCACAGGACTGATTTTGAGTATGCAAACATTGAAAGCCCCCTGGATTAGCTATCCATTCGTGTGTTTATCTACTCATTGTTTTTGGAAATGTCCCTGCAGGAGATGTAATTTTAAAGTCTAAATATTGTGTCATTTCTCCTTTAACATGTTCTCATTTTGCCGTATGGATTCTTTCTAGGTGATGAATGGCTTGTATATTCTTTTCAGGTTTGGAAAGAACCATTTGAGGAAGAAATAAATTGGTTAGTGGAAAGAAACCATCACCACCCTCCTCCCTACCACCACCACCACCACCAGAAGCAGCAGGACAAATGGATTAGGGAAAGTCTGTTGTAATTCTTCAGAGAGAGGAATTCAAAGGGTTCTTCCATCATTCTCCACTAGCTAGAACCACAATATTGTTACCATTGCCATGCTCATATCACTGAGCTTCCAGCTTTAGGGATCTTCTGCCTTCAGGCTTATCTTAATAACCTTACATTAATCACTGTGAGAAATACTGTATATTATACAGGAAGAAGTTGCATGGTAATTCAACCACACAAGCATGGCCAGGAAGAAAACACACGGCAGATTTTTCTTCCAAAAATTTTGGCAGCCTGCTTCTGCCACTTTTAAGTATATAAACTGAATATCTGTATTGGTGAAGTCAGTCAAAATCTAATTCCTTTCCTTTGGAAGGGAAGAAATGTAACTTCATTTTCATGTCTGTTTGGTGCTGTATCTTTTAGCTACAGGTGCCCATTGCACGTTTTATCCATAAAATGCTAAAATGCCAGATGCCACTCTCAGGCAGTACAACCAAGAAAGTGGACTGTAAACTGAGGCCAGTTCATGAAGGTCTCATTCTTGGTACTAAGTGCCAAAAGTATGTGTGTTTAGAAACAACTTTAGCATTTTAGTAATGTGTACTGGTGTGACTTCCAGACATGTGGCCAGGGGATGTGTACAGTTGAACAGGACACAGGCCAATGGAGGTGCTGTCAAAAACTCCCTCAGTAAGGCAAAGGGAGCATGCTGCACGTGTTGTTGAGTTATGTGCAGTAGGAGCATATATCTGTCCATGGTGGGACAGAAAGAAAAATAAACTTCACCCAGACACTTTGAGAAGCAGAGTTCTGCTGTTCATGTCTGAACCTTCTCTTTCATCACATCCCTGTATGTATGTACATGTGGATATGTACATATACACACTAAGGTGGATGTTCTTCCTTCAAGGTGAGAAAAGGACAAGGTCTCCTCAAATTTGCTTTTGCCAGTCCTGTAACTGTTCACTTTTGTGTAATTTACCCTACTCTTCGTCACTGATCAGAGTCATTTGTTTTTAATTTAACACACACATACACAGTGCTTACTATAAAACAGGAACCATTCTAAGGACATCATGAGAATAATTCATTCATCTCCTTCCCCTCCCTCAACTTTTGGCAGCCTTATTTCGTAACACCAAAGGCTACACATTGATCCTGCCAAAAGAAGTCTGCCGTGTGGTGATTAGCTGAATGAGCAAAGCAAAACACCATTTCTCGCATAGACTTTCATGCCAAAAATCTTATTTCTTTGATCCACACAATGATGAATGACCCACTCAGAGAAAGCAACAACTATGAGAGGCTGATGTCTCTGCCGGAAGCTAACTTTCACCACCCCAGAAGCCCAGAGATATTGGTACAAATACATGTGCCATGACAAATGCTACTGCTCCTTTCTCTGCACACATGGTTCATGCACACATGTCACATACATGATAGAGGCAGAAAGCAAACAAGAAAGCGCCAGGGGCTGGTGGTGGGAATGCTCTTGTAGCACGCACCAAGGAAATGACACTTATTGTTGGAAAATAAGTCCATGTCCTTGGATCAGAAATTCACACAGACACTTGGCATAAGCATGAGCAGCTCAGGAAAGGGTGGCTGCATCAAAAACACAAGTACCCAGATCTTATCTTTACAATTGCCTCCTGTTGTTAAGGTCACTCACTGTAATAGCGTCTGTGGCCCTCCGTCTTTCCCGGTGCAGCTCGGTACAGAATTGTCCCTTCAAAGGTAGTCTTTCCTGACAGTGAATGAGAGAAGAGAAGGGGAGAGAAAAAAACAAGAGAGGGGGCAGGGAGAAGCAAATGATGGCAAAAGAAGGAAGAGGAAGAGTCTTTAACTGAACTTGCCTTCAATGAATGTGCTCCAAGAACTTCATCCACAAAATTAATTAGAGACCATTAGGCAGAGTTTAAGAATGTTACATAATGAGCCCAAAGTCCCCATGCAGCCATGATGGTAATGAGCACCCAAAAAGGGCTTATCTCTACCAATGACTGGCATATAGATTAAGCCCAGTTCAAAACTGGAAGCCATTTCAACATTGTAATTTAGGACTAGGCAAACCTCAATTAACCAGAGGGAATCCAATTCATCAGATTCCTTCATGAACTCAATTGTACAGCACTATCTTCTCTTCAGAGAGTATGACCTAAGCCTAATGCAGATATAGGCCCCTTATCCTTTATCTCCTATCCCTAGAGCCCCACGTGTTAAAAACTGATATTTGAACCCCAATATTCTAAATAAGACACAGAATTCTCCTTAAGAGATGTTGAGCTGGGGTGCAGCTCAGTGGTAAAGCACTTGCCTAGCATGCACAAAGGACTTGGGTTTGATCCCCAGTACCACAAAATAAAGATCTGTCATCCTCCATACCCTTAAAGCGATATATTAATTTACTAGAGGGGAGGTTTCACTAATGAGGCTTAAAACCAATAGTGGTATCCACATCAACGTAAGGAGGGGTTCTACTTACACCAAGGACATCAGAAAACCCTATTTCTTAAAAACATCTTAATTGAGGTTTTGCCATATTAGTCATGAGACTATATATACTTAAGCATGAGGACATAGGACTCATCCAGCTTCGAGTGTCATTCTTTTATTACAAATGATGGCATTAATATTTTAAGACTGAACACATGGCTAAAGCCCAGATAGCTCTGAACCATGAGTAAGTACACAGAATATATATACACTACCCCAGTTTAAGTGTACTCACACCCTCCCACCTAACCACCAATACACACCCGCCTACACACACACACACACACACACACACACACACACACACACACACACACACACACACACACGAGTATTACCACAGGTAAAATGATTTAGTAAAGGTAAACTATTAATAAATGAATTACTCTAAGAAATAAGTTCTATTATGGCTTATAAATTAAAAACTCAAACTGGAGACCAGTCATATACCTCCATAATAAGTAAGAGGGATGAAAAAGGTAGGCTATATTTACAAAGAAGGAGAGAATAGAACTGAGAGGGGAGAAAGTTGTTTCACTTTTTATTTTATTTTATTTTATTTTTTCACATTCGGAATAAAAAAGGATTTTATTTATTGAGGGCAAAAGGGTGCAAACAATATTAAAAAAAATCAAAATCTTATGTGGCACTTAACTAACTTTTCTTTCTCAGCTTGCCAAATGGGAGTTGGATATAATCTGCATATTTCCTAAGGGTCCTGGGCTGTTTGTGAAATCTTGATACAAGGAGAAGCTGTGGGGCAGAGCCCTTAAGTGACCCTCTGGGAGAACTCTTATTAGGGCAGGAGTAATTATGGGAATCTGCTTACTTCTTTCCCTTCTGTTTCATATGTACTACAAAATAGTCATTGCATGCAATGGTGAGGCCTGCAATTAGTGAAAAGAAGCTCTGGAAGCCCACTTTGCCATCTCGGCACTGATCAGGTCTTTCATTTATTTTGTCCACAGCCAGAGGTCTTTTTGATTTTCCAAAATCCAGGGAACTCCTTATCCATGAGGATCCTCAGGTCCTCCTTTATTAAGTAGCCTTTATCTCCTGCATATTTGTGAAATGTAAACATTATGGTTTCCATGGCATGTTCCATTTGAGATGGCATGTTGGCGAGGTCTGTTGAAACCTTGGCCTGGAGGCTCGGCAGATGCTAGGCGAGCTGGGACCTGTTTCACTTTTTAGAAACACTCCATATAAAAATGGGAAAACTGATATATGAAAGAAATTAAGTAGAGTTGGGTATTTCCAATTTCCATGTCTGCTGGTAGAGTGGTACACCCTTGATTTTGAAACCTGCCCTTTTTGACATGCATGCTGCATTCAATTAGAGCAAAAATTTAGGCATTAAAATCACTGGCTATGTAAGAATAATCTAGAAAAGCAACAAAGTCTTTCAAACGTTAGATAACCACAGCTAGACACTGACAACAAAAGCAGAGCAAATTAACTTTAGCTGGTTTTTATTTGAGACATTTTTACGCTATTGATAAAATCAACTTAACTACTAAGGAGCACAGCTGTTTTGTGAGCCAGCAGCAGTCTTCTCAGTGTCAGAAAAAGGTAAGTGTAAGGGGGATAAAACAATATTTTGATGATGTTCCTCTAAGTACAACAGAACTTCCATGTGTTCTTCCACAGGACCAAGTCTGAGAATCACTGGGAATCACTGAGAATCACATGACCCTGATGTCTCTGAATGGGCAAGCCTACCATCTGCAAGGTCCCCCTGTCCACTGGCAGCAAGGCAATCTGAGATACAGTCTATGCTGAGGCTACATAGGCATTCTATTTGAAGAGCAAAAGACAGAGGCAATTGAAACAATCATGAATATGAGTGATGTTTATCTTACTGACAGAAATACTTCACTGTCACTATTAAATATTAGTTCTTGAAGGCAGAAGCATGATAGAGGGGAAGAACTTTAAAATGCAAACACAAAACCATATGTTGATGCTGGCATCTAACTTTGCCTAAAACCGTTTTTTATCAATTTGCTAATCGTTCTTCATTGCCACTAGAACATTCATCAAATATAAAACAAATATTAAAAAGAAAAAGGTCTAGTGATACCACAGAATGGAATTTCTCAGTCTGGTTTTTATTTTCACAGGCTAGGGGCACTATGCAATTTGGTTTTTATAGCTGATGAAACAATATTTTTGCATCATGGGAATGGTGTGCCATAGGTTTTAAAAATCCATCTTCATCTTTGACTTAGCTTGACATGTTATTAAAGTACCAAAACCTAAACTTAAAAAAAAAGGAATTAGGAAAATGAGAAATCCAACTCAAATTCAAAATGCAAATTTTCTCCCTCTGAAGATTATGGGAAATAATTGAGAAGGTTCCTGTAGTTATAGGATTAAAAAACAGGAATAATGTTAATATTAGAAGAATTATTTGAAATTAAGTAATATCAAAATGTTAAATATGGAAGAAACATTTATGCTTTAAATGTGAGGCAAAATACATATGAAATTGAAATTGGACAAGTCATATCTAGATTTCTTTGCCACTGAATCCAAATAAATCTTATTGAGTTAAGGTATTCTATGACTCTAACATTTGACAATCAGCTCCATTTCACATTATTTAGTCAATAGTAGCATGTAAACAATTATGAATGAAAACACAATTAATAATTCATCTCCTGTGATCATGATCAGAAACTCAACTTTATTCAGGTTTGAAATTTGTCAGATGCTCTGTGAAAAGGTGACCTGTTTGCATAATGGAGTCCATACCGGAGTGTGTGTGGAAGGCTTGCATGTCATTTTGGCCTTCTCATTCATAAGCCAGATTACTCTCAAGATATAATTACACTGGGCATTAGTGTTGTCTCCTGACACCAGGCTAAATGATCTTTAAATTCCTGTTTATCCCTAACATCCTAAGATCCTGCTTGCACTACTGATATAATCATTTGTATGTTATGTTTTTTTTAAAACCTAATTTACTAAACACCTTTTTATGTGGCATGTGACTACTGATTTAGTATGTGGGAGCCTATTTCATTCTTAAAAACAAACGTGATTAATACCAATCTGTAATCCCTGAGTGACTGGATCTGAGTGATAACCATCAATGGCTGGTAACATTGAAAAGAAAGACAGCCAGGTACCAAGAGCCTCAAGAGTGAACCATCCAACACCACCAAGGGAAATTTGCAATAAATAATAAGTTACACACACACACATATATATAAAAAACATTACCTACTCAAGTCTCAACACCTAATAATCAATAATTTACAGGAATGCAGATTAAATGACACAGGAGAGAGGAAATCATCACAAGCCAGGTTGTGAGAAACTAATGGATAAAGGAGCTCAGTTCCTTCAGCAAAAAAATTGCACAGAAAAAAGGTGTTAAGGAGAAACCCACACATTCAAAGGAACTTAAGAAATATCAACCAATCACAATGTATATACTTTATTTGGATCCAAATTCACTCTACCAAACTGCTCCCCCCCAAAAAAAACAAGACTATTAAGGGAAAGTGAACACTAACAACATGTTTAATTATTTTAAGGAACTGCTGCAATTTTTTGCATGTGATAATAGTATTTCAAGAGATCCTTTCATTAATACATACTGAAATATTTATGGATTAAATTATATAATATCTGGGATTTGCTTTAAGATAATATGAGGGAGGAGTAAGTAAGGCTAATGTTAACAAACTGGCCATAAGTTGACAAATGCTGAAGCCGGGTGATGGGTACACAGGGGTTTATCATACTATTCTTACTTTTGTGTATGTTAGAAATTGTCTGACAAAAAGTTTTTAAAATTCATTTTGGAAAAAAATTTAATCTTCTCTGAATGGTAAAGATATTTTCAATTTTAAACATGCAAAAGTTTCTGCTGCTACATAACTATGAATTTTCTTTTGAGAAAATGTTTAAATCAAAATATCAAACAATGTAATTGTTATAACTTTTATTTTTTATATTATTGTTGCACTGGGGGTACATTGTGACATTTACAAAAGTGCTTATAATATATCTTAGTTAAACTCACTCCCCTCCATCATTCTCCTTTAAATTCTTTTTTTAATAGACTATATTACCCTGAACAAAGAGCTATAGAGGTTTAGAGGTTTTCATGATCAACCATATGTAAAAATACATCAGAGTAAGAAAAAACCAAGTTCTAGCAATTTTTACCTACTATTCAAAGATAAAAATATGTCCTTATAGAGGATCCATCCAGCATTTATTAAACACCTACCTACCTACATATAAACATATGTGCTTATAAGTTTAAACACATATAAACATATGTGCAGTCTTGGCACATATCTTTATAAATATAATGCTAATGTTTCTTCTGTCAGATTCATCCATCAGAACACAAAATTCAGTAACTTCCTCAAGTACTTTCCTGAAGTAAAAATGTGAATTATACAAACACCTAATAACCATGTACACATATAGAAGTAGGGGTGTGTATGTGTGCATGTGTGAAACAAAAGAAGTATGCAATGCTCTTTTCATACCAGGATACAGATTTTTAATCTGTCTTTCAAAAAACCCTCAACCTAATGTTTGGTATCATTTAAATTAAAACGATATTTATATGATGTCACTGTGATCTCTAAAACTTACCAATATGGTACAAACAGCAGAACTGAACTTAACCCCAGAGTCATCTATTAATTAAGCAATCTCTGAGGAAAACCTAACTGCAGCTTACAAAGAGTATTAAGTAGGCTGGTCAAACAAAGAAATTAAGTACATATTAGCTCATAGTAGAGAAAAGCTAAACATCTTTTGTGTGTTAACTACATTTTATATTTTTCAGCAGTAAGATGGAAATAAATATGCATTTACTATAATTACAAGACATTATCACTGGGGAAAACTGGGTGAAGAGTACATGAGCCTTCCCTGTACAGTTTTGTGTTTATGTTTTACAACTTCCTGTGAATCTATAATTATCTCAAAACAAAACGTTTTATAAAAAAAATAAAGCACGTTGAAAGCACTGCCACTGTTCTCCGAGGGTAGAAAATAGGCAGATTTATTCTAAAACCAAAGGTCCTGCTTAAACAAATCCTACCAGTATCCATGATTTCTGCAGGTGATCTGATCTGATTATATACATTTTCACATAAGCACATGCTGAAGCAAATCCAGAATGTAAATGGTTTTGAAAATCCTGTCGGGGGGAGAAATGAACCAAGCATTGTATGCACATATGAATAATAAAAGAAAAAGGAAAAAAAAAAAGAAAATCCTGTCAGAACACTGAGAGATGTCACTTCTCTCTTTTAAGGGATGTTTTCAACTTGGCAAGTTACAAAGATGTTATTCTCACATCTGCTCTTTTATGAAGCCCTTTGTGACCACCACCCCACATCGCCATGGGGTCTCTCTGCCTTTGTACTCCATTCTTCCTCAGATGCCAGCTTCTAGGTCACTTTCCTGAACTTCTGGAAAGTTGTGTGTCCCCTTTCTGCCAAGGTGAGCTTACTGATGGCAGGGGCTCTGCATGCTCTGTTTCTGGATCTTCAGTGCGCCTGAAGGCATCTTAGTACCAAACAGGGGCTCAAAAGAGACAGAATGAATAAAGACTGAAGGAAGAAAGAAGGAAAGAGAAAAAAAGGAAGATGATGAACAGATACAAACAGGCAGACAGAGAGATGGGCCCTCTTTTTCTTAACTACATACAGGAAGATTACAAAAGCCATGTTTTACTTTGTTTGCTGGGTTTTGGTGGTACTGGGGTCTGAACTCAGTGCTTTATGGTTGTGGAGCAGGCATTCTACTGTTTGAGCCATACCTCTAATCTGTTTTGCTCTGGAAATGGGGGTCTCACTTTTTTTTTTTTTTTTTTTTTTTGCCCAGACTGGCCTGATCGTGGTCCTTCTAAGCTTCCTGCCATGGCTGGGATGACAGGCGCATACCACCATGCCTAGTTTTTTCCCATTTTGAAGTATCGCAAACTTTTTTGCCTGGGTGGCCTGGAAGTCTGATCCTCCTAATCTCAGCCTCCCAAATACCCTGGATTACAGGGGCCACTGGCCCCTACCTTACCATGTTGTTTTATCAGAACCATCCATCCTTGTTTTGGAGACCATGCCTCTCCAGAGACCTCAAAAGACCCTCAACAATGGTCAAATTCCGTGAATGAAACATGGCTGCTGAAACTACTGGGCTCTCCTGATCCTGAAATAGAAGGCTAGCAATTGAATGAGTGCTGGGGGCAGGTGAAAGGCCAGATGATTGGGAAGACCATTCCACTCACCCTCCCAAACCTCCTGCATCAGGAATTCCAGCACCACATGATTTGAGCTCAGAATTCAGGCAGGGTCAGCCATCTATGTTGTTCTCCTGAAATGTGCGGGAATAATTTGTTTCAACAGATCCAAAACTACGAGAGGCATTTTTTTCTGACTCTGAGAGCATATAGCTAAGATGACAGGACACCAAGAGGTCAAGGCTCTCCCAAAGAGCTTGTCCAGTACCTCCCCAGATCTCCTTCTCTACATCAACAAATGAATCACAAAGTAATTCCCAAATGTAGACATGATGCTTCAGTGGCCACAGTATCAATGAGGGAGCAAACAGCTTCTGAGCTACTGAACACTAACTGGTATATCCCAACAGTCTATCCTGATTAACAATGAGAGCTACCATTTATTGGGGCATTCTATGAGTGAGGTAGCTTATAGACATTCCTGCTGTTGGAACTCATATTAACGCATTTCCTCATGGAAATAAGTTATGATGGCCGGATTTGGTCCTCCCTCCAATAAAACACATTTAATCTACAATGTCCCTGAAGTAAACTACTGTTATTGTAGAACCTAATTACCAGGTATGACACTAGTCCAGTGTACAAAAGAAGATACCAGGCAGCTAAAATTCTAATGTGAATTTGGGAGACAACAGCAACTCCCACTGACATACTCATTAGCTGCACCATGTTAGTGGAAAATCCCTGGGCCTCCAAATAGAAAATGCAGCAGGAGCTTCATTTGCTCCAAAATTTCCTCCTAGTCCCTCCCATCATAGACCTTAGGATGGAATGAAGTTCGGGGCAGTAGAGTTCTAGGCTTTGGCAGTGGAGGGAAGGGGCCCTGCTAAAGCCACTGAGCCAACCAGCCAGTACAGCCACTTCTATGGCTGTCAGGTTATAGGATTCAGAACTGCTGAGACACTAGGCAAAGGAGGTCACCTGAGCACTTCCCTGGAAACAGCTTTACTTTCAAATCAGGCATTTGTCCGATCATGTTACTGTTTCCGTAAGAAAGGCACCAAACCAACAAAAGACCATCACTCAGGTCAAATTGTTCCAAATGAAAAAGACATTTAAAAATTATCCGGGCAACACTGAGCTGTCCTCCTCATGTCAGGAAGGAAAGTCAGCAACCCCAGTTAGTACCGCACCACTATAACACAGTCGAGCCTCCTACAACATTCACGCCCATGACCTTGGATCAACATGGCACAAGATAAACACAGACGCCCATATGGGAAAGTGGGTTAGTGACTGGGAGAACAAAGCTTCCCGGTCCTGACCTTTTGCTCCATGAGCTGGAAAGGGCAGCAGAGAAGCTGGAGGGAGACCTTCAGGCCCTGGAGAAAGAAAGACCTGAAGTTCGTTCTCACCATCACAGAAGGAAACACATGCTCACCCAAGGTGGGGTCTGGCCTCTCAGTTGTTTTGTCATAATTTTAAGGGAACTGGCATGCACTTACCTTGTGCAAAGCACTTATTGCTACCAATGGTTTTTTTTGTCACTGTTATTTTTCTCTAACTTCCTTAAGGGACACTGAGAAATACTATCTCATAGGTTCATTTTAAAAATAATTATGAACCTAATAATAAAACATTCTAAAAGTATATATAAGCATAGTTACTTGGGCCACCCATGAGACAATACTACCATGGCATGAGGCTGGTAGTCACCTATGGAGATGTGGCTATACAGGTGTGGCTGTGGGTCACATCTTTACAATGATAAACTTTCTGTACTTCAATGGGTTAAGATCTGTAAGCATTTGTCATAGCCTTTCAGTATAGGCCATAGTACAGAAGGGAAGCTGAGGCAGAGCCCACTGGTCTGCCCTTCCTTTTTCTGTTCATTGGGGTGGACGTCCTTACTTGACTTGGACAGCTGGTCATCCTGGGAAATGCCGAGCTCATCCGAGTCCCCTGACAGCTCCTTGATGAAGTTGGAAGGAAACATTCCAGTCTTCCCATTGAGAACACCTTCCCACCATCCTTCCTCTACCTATACAGATGCAAAGAGAAGAACAGAGATACAGGGTCAGGTTAGACATGTCTCCTATCTGTATGGTGTAGAGTGGAGCCCACACAGGAATACAGGGTGGACCCAAAGCTTAAAAGTTACCAGGGAACCAAAGAGCAGGTCACACAGTCATGGAATTCAGATTAAGGAAGGTTAACCTGGGATCCACAAATATAAATTAACACTTCATTTTCATTAGCCTCTAACTGAAATTTGGTAGTTACTTTGATTATGAATATAGGAACGCGCCAATATTACAAGTACCTGTGACTCATCACCAAAAAAACAAAAATCATGGTTATTTTCATTTCACATCACAGATACTGCAGCTATTTTGAAATATCATTTATGCTCAATGTTACTTTGAAATGTTGGTATAAATTGTTACCCTTGCTGGAAGACATCTGTTATTTAATATATTAATAAGAAATAACGTAAGATTAATATGTCTAAATCTGCTTTTGAAATAGGTTGATATCGACTCCAAAATAAATAGCTCCCTTTATAATTGTAGCATTTTATTTTATGCATTTAAAATCATTATTTAAAAACTGCAAATGGAACCAGGCATGGCTGTTCACACCTGTAATCCTAGAACTTTAGGAGGCAGCGGTGGAAGGATGGTGAGTTCAAGGCCAAACTGGTCTACGTAAGTGAAACCCTGTCTCAAGAAAATCAAGGGCAAAAAAAAAAGTACAAATAAATTTTAAAAAGAAAGGAGAAAGCTAAGGGCTAAGAATGTAGCTCGGTAGTAGAGTGTTTGCCTGTCATTAGCAAGGCCATGGGCTGGATCTCCAATGCTGTAAAAAAAAAAAAATGTGAATGGTTCCCCCAGACTATCAAAACTACAGTCTACAAAAAAGAATAAATACTTAAGAATCTATTGGCAAAGAACTCGATCAAAGGTAGAAGGATTTCCTATAGGTTTCTAGATGACCCTAGAATGAACTGGAAGGGGATGAAGGTTGGTCTGGAGGGCAGTGATGCTGCAGGCATCTGGTTAGGGAGGGAAGGCTGGATCAGGGAAGCTGTGAGATCAAGGTAGATTCAGATGTGAAGGCTTGAGCAATCAATTAGCTGGGACAGTGAGAAAAAGGTAAAAAACTGTCCCAAGATTTTTGTGATGGTGCCACTAACATAACAGCATGAGTCAACTTTCTGGAGGAAAACAAGGTCATTTTGAGAACAAGCATTAGATTGCCAGTATGATGTGGAATACAGAAAGAGACCTAGAACCTTTGGTACGTGCATGTATTACCAGTCCAAATCAGAAGTACAATTTAACAGCTAAAATAATTCAAACAAAAAGAAAATTCAAAATCAAAAGCCTACCCTGAAACTTAGCAGTTGTGTGACCTTATTTCAATTTTTCCTAACAAAATGAGCCCCCTTTGGGCTTGATCCATGCTAAAAGTATATGCATAATGGTTCCCTACTAGGTGCTGGGGATACAGAACTGTACTAGACAAGTTTTTATTTTTCCTGAAGAAGGTAGCAATCTACCAAGATATAAAGGTGTGCCTAAAAAACAAGCAATACAAGGTAAATAGATGAGGAAAAAACCATGACAGCAGAAATCAAAATTGTTATACCAAGTTGAGCTCACTGAGATCTGGGATATTGAAGGAAAGCTTTGAGAAATGAAAATCAAAATAAAGAAGGGCCTTTAAGAAAGGAGAAACAACAGCTACGACTGGGGAGGGGGTACAGGGACGTTCCAGAAAGGGGAGAGGAGCTAATGAAACCTGTGGAATGGAGACAACCAGATCAATATGCTTAGAGCATTTGTTAGGGAACTCATGGGGAAGACTTGCAGAGTGGTGATTACATTTGCATGACCACAAAATCTTAGGACAAGAATGCAGACAGCATGCACAAGTGTCCCAATGACTGTTCAATACCAACTTGTGACATTTAATAGCATTGCCACTGAATAGCAGTCCCATGTTTCTATGCCAACTCAACTGATATGCATTATTCTTTCAAGGAGCTTTTTATAGGATTAAGATGATTATAAAGGTTTGCTACGAGCTTTATAAAGTTCTGTACAAAGTCACAGAATTTGTAGCATGGAGTCCTTTGTGATTTTCCCAAATAAGGAACCATAAAATAACCTTTTTCCTCCCAGGAATCACAGGGCAAGAGGAGAAAACTAAGGGCAAGAACCACGATTGAGAGAGGTAGTGGGGGTGATCTAACCAATGTACAATATAAGCCTATTTGGAATTGTCACAATGAATTCCCCCTGTACAACAAATATATCCTAGCAAAAAAAAAACCTAAAGCATTAAATTTTATTAAATGTATATGATATGTAACACTGAGATCAACATAAAATATCTCTTAATATAAACAACAACAACAAAAAAAGAATCACACATGCGCTATCTGGCATAATCCCCACTGCTCAGGGCAGCTGGACCAATTCTGTGCATTCAGTTTGATGATGTCTGAAATGTTCCTGTTCCTGGTAATAAGCAGCTCTAGCCCAGGATCCTGGGAGAAAGTGCTTCTGACGTGTAGGATCAGTGGATGCCTGCTGGGAAAACAGGGGTATCTTCACCTTGCCGTGCCCCCAGATGCCTGTTATCACTGTCAAAGCACAGTCTGAGAGGCCTATGGGAAAACGGCAGAGGTCTATCATTAACCACACAGCAAATGGAGGGGCAGACAATAAAATCACACTCATCACCTGGGGGATGCATTTCCCATCACAGGCCCCACAAGCACAAGGTGTGTTTCTTTGTAAGGTAAGCCCTTCATTGTGGGGAGGCCTGACCCCAGGACCAATGAGAGCTATTTCTGTACTATTTCTTCCTATAGCCTGCTGCTTTGGTCTTAAGATTGAGCCTGAAGATATGAGAAAAGATATGATCCTCACTCTCAAACTATCCCTCTTTTGAGAAACTCTAGTTCAACTTCTACATAAAGACAAGGACTCTTGAAGCCCTGAATATGGTCTTCCTTCATCCATTTATTCCAGGAATAAAGCATAGTGCCTTGCACTGAACAAATGAATGAACAAATGAAAGACAGAGAAATCATTGGGAGAAGTCCTCCATGGCAGCCTATCAACCCTGATTCCCCCATAAAAGGGTTTTTTTTGAAGGGACCAAGAGACCCTAACTATATTGCTACTTTCTGTGTGTGAAGGGGGTGGGAAGGAGGGAGGGAGGGGAAAAGACAGGGAGGGAGGGGAGAGGAGAACAGAGAGAGAGAGGGAAAAGGGGAATGGAAAAAGAGAGAGAGAGAGAGAGAGGGAGGGAGGGAGGGAGGGAGTTTCAGAATGCAGGGCTTTGTACATGCAAGGCAAGTACTCTATCATTGAACTACATACACAGCCTTGCCACTGTTCTTAATTGGTTCTACTCATCCAAGCTTCTGTGGTCCTCCCAGTGCCACCAATCCCACTGATAGTTAATGAACATCTATCTTGTACTGCCTCAGGACCTTGGGACAATTCGCTGGTGAATAAAACAGATAAAAAGACTCCATCCTGGAGAAGCTTGCATGGCAAAAGAGGACCATGCAGAGCCTGTACTATTCCTGCTTAGAAATCAAGCTGTCTTATCCTGTTTCTGTATTTAAAGAAAGAAAGAAATATGACCCCTTATAATAAAGTAGAGATTATGGATGCCACCAAGGGCTTACAACTTCTATCCCCAGGAAAGTAATAAAAGGGAACAAATGCCCACCTTCTCCCCACAACCACCCCATCCCCATTCATAAACAGTCTTCTATAGGCCTTAGCTCTAGGCTGAGAACAAACGCCACCTGTGTCCATCTGTGACCAATCTGGCCAGTTCTAGGGCCCATGACTGTGCCCCAAGAGCAAACCCTGCCTATGGCCCAGAGCTGGGAGCAGGGAAGCCACCTCGTGCTGTTTGAGAAAGGCCCAGTAAAACCACTTAAACAGTTTAGATTCCAGTGCCCAACAATTTCCATGTCTTTGCAATCAATAGCATCTAAGTGGGTTCAGAGCCCAGGGAAGTGGTTTATAGATCTTAACCCCACTAGAAGTTGAGGAAACAAAGGTTTGAATTTCAACAAACCTTTTTTGGCGAATTTGAAATTTGAATTTCAAATTTGTACAGTTTTCAATTGTACAAACATTATCAGCATCTGTTAGGTAGGAAAGAGGATGTCTGGGAATGAAAAGGTGATAAGCTTTCCCATGTTCAGAATTTCCCTACCTAATTCTGAACAGTTCTTATTTATCATCCTTGAAGGGTTTCTGTTTTGTTTCAACCTGTTAGTTGTACTGAAAATGGAACAACAGGTGTACCAAGTCTAAAGTCTACCCGAGGGTAAAAGTAGCCAGAGAGAAAAATCCAATTTAGGGCTGCAGTAGCTTTTTTCATTCAATGACTACTTTGTTCCCCAAACTCCAGTTAGCAGCAAACTGGAAGGGTGGGTGTGGGGTACACAAGGGAGAATGAAAGAGAGGCACATGGGCCAATGAAGTTAGCTTTACTGTTCCATGAATGGTTCTCTTGCCGTAAAGAAAACTGACGCATCAAACTGTAAAAAGAAAAGCCTACACCTTAACATTCCTAAAATCTTCAAAATTTTTCCAGAAAAAATTAAATGAAAATTTTAGTACTAGTCATTTCTCCTACCTGTGAAAGAAAAAAGATGAAGGTTTTTTGGGGAAAAAAAAGCATTAAAATACTATAAAAATATTAAGATCATTTTTAAAGTTTATTTAAAATTGAGATATAACTTCCATAAATGTACAGATCCTAATAGTACAGTTGGCCAGTTTTGGCTAAATGCCACACCTCTATCAAAAAACAGAACATTTCCATCACTCCGGAAAATTCCCTCGTGCTCTTTCCCAGTCCTTCCACACCTGAGAATCACTAATCTGATATGAATTGCCTTTGATTGGTTTTGCCTTTCTAGAATTTCACATAAATGTTCTAAGACATAGTTTAACTCCTTCAATACTGTTTCAAAAATATAAAGTATTAAAAATATAA